GAGACAGAGTAATTCCAGTGCGACAGTTATAAACACTTGAATTCATTACATTTTATTTATTTGAATAGTCAGTCAAAATCATTGTGATCAAATGTATCTGCAAATTTTACTCCAAATAGTTTACTGTAAGATAGTGCTGTAAAAAAACTGTCAAATGCTTCCTGGGGTATATTTGCGCTCACCAATACATTTTGAATACCGATACACTCTCGATGTTAAAAGTATTGGCTGTATCTCAAATGACTGAACCCACCATGTATTAAGCTGACTTTAGACTTTATTCTGAGGACTGTCCAATAATGTCCAGCAATGTATTTCAAAAAATACGTAAAATAAAAAAAAACTGGCAAGAGATAACAGTACATGATAACTGATGAGTAATAGCTGGCAGTTGTTGTTATGTGGCCATCTGAGCTTGCTGGGTTGTAACGAACTTCAGTTAAAAAATACAAAGTTTTTAAGTGGAATTGTAAGAAAAGACAGCTATATAATATAAATGTATTGTTCATAAGCAAACAGAGGGGAAAACGTGAAGGAATACAGCTGTGCACTGTAATTCAGAGCATGATATCATTTGAGTAGCATGAGATAGGAGAGCAGTTGGAGAACTGTAAAGCGAACCCACCGGCAGCATTGCTGCCAGTATTTTACTGATAATCTACATAAATCTTTAACAGGGTGGCTGTGGGAGTGAAAAAGGAACAGAAGTAAAAAATAAAAATGTAACACTCAGCATCATTCAGATTTAACTGTATCACACATCATTATTGCAGCTGCTGATTTGCTGCGTCTGTAGCAGTTATCATCTTTCACCATCTTTATAGGTGTAATTTACCATATTTAATCATTAGTGATTGCATTACAGACATATCTGAACAACATCAGTAACAAAACCAGAGGTAACTGTAAGATTTCACATGGGAGATAATCATCTATTACCAACACGGTCTCCTGAAACAACACTGATTATTATAATGGAATAAAGTTAAAGTTACTAGGTTAAAAAAAACAATCAATGGATTGGAGTTTATTGTATGTAAATATCAACATTATTAATCTAAGTATAAAAAGATGAAATAGATAGTTTTTCATGTCGGTCCCTTTGCCAACCTAAAACTCGACCGTTCCACTGGCCTCTCTTGCAGCACCAGCCAGGAAATGAGCTGCTAAACTGACTGAAGTTGTCCAGTTGCAAGAGGTTAAAACAAATTAAAATCCTAATTAGAGGAATGTGTCAGAAGCAGCCAGTTAAACGCTCAGCATTTGGTCTTTTAATGTTTCTTGCAAAAAGTTAAAAGACCAAATACAAAGATTTTTT